AACAATACGCAATTAGCTGATGTCAACATAACATTTTTAGGTCTCTCAATTCAGTCAAACCTTGAATAGAATGTACATATAACGGAATTAAACACTAAATTAACTTCATTATGTTACGCATTCGGAATTCCATCAAATTATATCAGCCTTCATGACGCTTATTGCGTATATTTTGCAAATGGCCATTCCCGCCTGGGATATGGCATAACATTCTGGGGAAGCTCATCATGTAGTACCCAAACCTTTAGATCGCAAAACAAAACTATTCGAATAATGAAAAAAGTCTATCCGCGTGATCCCTGCAAGCCTCTCAAGCTTCGAAGCTTGTCATTTACTTGCCTATTTATTTACGAATCTGTAATATTTGTCAAAACTGACTTGCTTTACGGCGAGAACATTTTTTCATGCAATACTGATATTTATAATTACAACACACTTCGTAAAAATTAAACGTTTATCTAGTGTCAATATGAACAGCTCACTACCATAAATCCACGTACAATACATGTACGTTACTTTACAACACATTGCCAGATGACATTAAACAAGTGAAGTCGGTACACAAATTTAAGGCAAAAGTAAAATATTTTCTGCTGCATAACTGTGTCTATACAATTAGGTACTATACTGGTCATCAAAAAATAATGTTTATTTACACAAAACAGTGATATATATAATTAATTAGTTTACATTTGAATTGTATAACGTTTTTAAAAAGTCTTAACATGCTTGTAACAAATACTGCATTTCAGCTCCGGGTTGATGATCCCCATTTCGATCAGGTTTTTGTCCAGTTTCCTTGATCCATTAAGCAAATGCTGAGATGGCCCCTTGTTTTGCTTCTGGACAATTGTAACTTCTCTACGCGCACGTTTTGTTGAACCCTCCTTTTGCTTGTAGTGTTAGGAGTAAGGGTAAGGGCAAATTACTATTTTGTTATCAATGCCGAAAAATCAAATATGCAATTCGTTTACCGTTGCAAATAAGTTTACTATAACTGGGAACGAAAATGTCTAGTGTTACAAATGTTGCTAATCTAGCGTTTTTTTTAATTTTATTTTTATTTAAGTTAAAATTTACTCCTTGCTCAACTATTTATTGTTAAAATGATGGAAAGGGATTCTGGAACTTAATAAATCGTGAGCAGATGATCTTCTCCCCCATACGTCACATACAACTTTTTTTTTGTCTAAATAAATCTAAACCTCATTACACTTTCCAAGATTCCAAAAACCTTCCCCAGAGGACCTGCGACCCATCAGCTCCCTTGTGAAACCCTTACGGGTAGTACTTCAAGCGTAGTTAGTACCTTAAGGGTCGTGACAGCAATTTTTCTCTCGTATTCACCATTCCCCATACACCCAGTCCACCATTTCCCCTCCCGCTCCGCCTCCGCCTGCCCTCCGTGGCCGGCGCGGCGCGGCGCGGCGCGGTGTTTGTGAGGCGAGGTGCGGCTTCCATGCCCGGGCACTCCGCTGCGCAAACACAGCGGCGGGCGGCGCCCCCTGCGCGATAGTTTCGCGATAATATTGGCTGAGCGTTTGACCTCGCTTGTTGAACGCGCCCGCCGAGAGCCCGAGAACGCCACCCGGGGGACGACGCCGGTGGTGGCAGCGCCGGGATCATAATCCGAATCCACCTTCGCCTGCCGTTGTTTCAAATGTTAGAAAAAAACTTAGATATCGGTACTTCATTTCCTTCCGAAACATTTGTATTTTTATTACATGAAGGTATCTTTACTCATCACAAATAAGACGTCAAAGTACTTACCGTTCTGAAAGCCCAAGTGCTAGCTACTCTGCATATGGTAGCTCTGCATATAGAGCCATGGATAATAGCGAAAAGAAACATGAAAAGAATGGGAGCATCAGATGGGGCACCAGAAGAACGTTGTCAGGTTACAAAATACAAGATGTCTGAGAAATGAAGTTATCCGACAGGAATTGGAAATTTTATCGGTGCGTGAAACGATAACACAACAATGACGAAATTGGTTTAAACATCTGAAATGCATGAATCCAAAATGAGTGTGGAACAGTGGGGCTAGAAAGGGAAAAAGTTGGCAAACAGTATTTTTAAGCGTTTTTCGTATTGTTGGGAATAAAAACGCACCTTAAAATTTCAAAATCACTTATTTATTTGTTTAACCTTCGAATTTTTAAATATACAACCACAGAATCAGAACTTTCATCATGTTACTCTTCTTAAAGAAATGAATTTGTACTTGAAGGCTGTAACATTTTTGTAACGTGTAGGTTAAATTTTTTAAATAATTATGATCTATAATTTTTCTCTAATATTACGAAGCTGTTTCCGATAATACGAGAAAGGATGTGCTGTTGTAGTATCACTAGGTGCATTTCATTTAGGGAGCACTAATGGAAATGAAATATAAAGGTAATGAAAACACATCTGCTGCTTCCGTATTCGTAGTAATTTTCTGCTTACATTGGCATTGATGTGATCCGTCAAATTCTCATTAATTACTAAACAAACACAATTTACCTGATTTTTCTAAAAGATGATTATTCAAAACATCTCCCTATGCTTGCAAAATACGCACAACTGCATGTCTAAAAGTGGATGTAATTTTACATCGGCAAATGTATCAGTAACAATAATTTCTTCCTTTTTGGCGGAGTGTTCTCTTCCACAATTTCTTGTAGTTCCACTATTTCTTCCGCTTTTTTTTCTTTTCAGTGTGTTTAATAACATCAGACATACCCCATCTTGTTAATAAAGAGCTCTCATTACCAGATCATGAAGGTAGAATTAAAAAAAATTAATATTGTAGGTAGGAAGACTAACAAAAGTAGGTGTGCATCATTATAAACAAAGTATGTTAATTAAAAATGGGGTAAACATGGGCAAACTTTGATTAATGTTTTGAAAACTAGATGAATTCCTGAACTAGATTCCGTTAAAATCATAGCTCGGAAATGCCCGGAAGGTAACTAAAAGACAATATGAAAAACATTATTTTTAAAATGTCCTTTGTGGTACTTGAAGTTTCTACTTGGAATTAATAACTTATTAATTCAGAAATATGTTTTTTAGTTATAAAGATTTAAAGTACATCTCTCCATGTATCGTATCCATAGCACGTACGGTTCTAGTAGTCGAGGGAGAAAAAATATTGGCAGCGAAAAACACATCTCTCTTCTTATTGCGAGAGCGAAAAAGTGCACCGGCAATCACTTGTACAAGTTCAAACTTGCACTGGATGGAGTGGACTGATTCCCCCTTCCTTTTATGATCGGGGAACGATGAAGGAGATATTTTGCTACCCCTTTCGTGTGAAATGGATCCTCTAAAGCATATTTTGATTTTGTACTTTTTGCCAACTTTCCCCTCCTCACTGTCCCACTGTGTGTCGTGCCTGATGAGAGGATAATCCTCATAGTAGAAGAATTAATAGAGGTCTTCCGTGCAAAAGTGGTCAGATCAACGAACACAATTTTACATGCATGACTGAAACGCATCAATGGATGAAACCGAAATTAACTACGATGGAGATATCTTTCTATGCCGTCGTCCATGGTTCAGATCTTTTCTTTCGAGTTCTACGATATACTTCAGTATAATAAGGTGTGAATTGTATTGGAGGTGTCTTCGTTGCTCAGACGCGAATAATCACATTGAATTTTAATGGTTTGATGGCAGTGACTCAAGTATTTGGCTGTTCTGGAGAGACGGTGGATGAATTTAACGTCAAATTTAAGTGGTGAGATGAAGTTCTTGAGTGACGTGAAGGAGGTTTGGCTGCAAGATGTCATTTTCTATGGCGCGATTTTTGGCGCAATTTTGAAGGCGCTGTAAAAAAATTCAAAAATAAAAAACATAAAAATAAATAATGTAAGAAATTAAAAAATATTTTCGGATATTAATAAAATAACTTAAGGGATCCATGAAATAATAATAAACGTAACATGTGCAATCAGCACTTCATAATAAAATCTAACACATGTAAGTTGTAACGAATTACAGAAGGGTTATCTAATCCGAATTAAAATTTAAGACAATTTTACGTACAACGTTTACCCAGCCTTCCGCGATCGGAGACAATGAAGTCTTAGCTAACATGCGCTCAGGATAAGGTCGCGTAACGGTGGGCGAAGTAATTACAACTGCCCAGCACGCGGTGTTTTTCGGAGAGTCAGAACATTGTACACTCAGAGAAAGTCACAGATGTGATATTGTAATCACATGGACAAGTGGAGATTCTTTCTTCACAAAATATTTTTTTATTCGAGCATGAGTTGAAGAGCTAGCAATTTTCGAGGGTGAAACATCATTTTGTCAAGATGAACAACGTTAAATTGTATCAGAATATTTTTAGAAAATGTAGAGGCGTTTAAAAATTTATATTTGTCTAATGAACACGGCAAATACTCAATTATGTTTGTGAGATATATTTAGGGGACATTGTCCCAGTAATGCCCGAGATATCAAGACGATTCATGTTAAATGAAATCCGAACATCCCTAAAATTCGAGTTGGATTTTTTCTAATATTTAGAATGAAATACTCAACTGAATTACGTTGCATGTGCTAGAGGTGTTGCCTCTATTTATGACAAAGTTTGGCCTCTACAAGAACTTTTCCGCCTATTGAAACATCTGTTAAATTCTATTGTCTCGATACACAAATAGTAGTAATGCAAAAGTTATATAACATACACTTACTTCATTACAACACAGTTGTTAAACACAAATTTCTAATAGTTATTCTTGTGCTTAACTCCTCGAATTCATTTATTTTCTTGTGAGTATTTTGGATTCCGCGATTAAGTGATTTATAATATTTTCTTTTCGTCCTTCAATATTTCGTTGCTTCCATGACCCCTGCGACTTTCCGAAAATATTTTCCGTTGACCTTGCGTCCTGAAAAGATTCGCTGGGAATTAGCAAGAAAAGTTTACATTCATGCTTTACCTTTGGTATTCTTCTGTGCAATCTGCTTGCTGTTGCTGTTACACGTGACCAGATAAACATGAGCTACAAAACATCGGAAACAACAACAACAATAATAATAATAATAATAATAATAATAATAATAATAATAATAATAATAATAATAAATCGCGCACTAAAATTCTTTAATCACCATGTGGTAAGAATAAATACCAAACAAACGATACAATGAAATTTAGAATTTGGTGATGAAATTTTCTGAATATTTGCTGTAGAATAAAGTTAATAATGAAAACTAAATATATCGTATATTTTGCCATTAGTGCTGAAAATTTAGATGGAATATAACGAAGTGTTTGAACGTGTTTTAACCCATTCATGCACTTTATAATTTTAACCCAGAATCCTCATTTGAAAACGCACATTTCTGGTCAACTCAAATTAGTGTCCGTTGTAATTTGTGAATATAACATCTTCAGTAGACACATATATCATATACTTAACATTATTTACAAATTTTAAGAAAGAAGTTTTGGATCTCGTGAATTCTAGATTGTTCATTTATTCGCGTCACTAGAGCAGTGGTGTTCCACTTGCAAAGCCTTAAGCGCCACAACTAACATCCATAATATGTTTGCAGGCCACATTTTCATTACCGGAGCGATCCACACCTGACTTTTCCCTGTTGTTGATCTCGGCACTTAGCCCGGCTGCTCAGAAAAGGGGAATGGAATCATGCGTGATATCAGGCCATGTATAACACAGTGCATAACATTGATGTGATTTTAAATTTATGAATTTACTAGAAAAAAATTAATCTAAACTTGAACCTATTTTTACAATAGGGGTGTGTTGACTCCGGCAGGGCGCTGGGCGCGCGGAGTTCTTTCTCGATATGGCTGCAAGGGACTTCCCTTTGGCGGGCCATAATAAATATCACCGCGGGCTGCATCGGCCTGCGGTCCGCCATTTAGACAACCCTGCGCTACACGCTCGTTCGAGACTTGGGTCGGTTCGAATCTTTTAATACCGTGCACGTCGTACTCTACGCGCGTAAAATTAATTCGGACGTTCCTTTGCTAATAAATGTACTTTATTATAGCTCGCTTGTTATTTTTGACAAATTTATGGAATGGAGAAAATTCTTGACACTCTTGTAAATGCAGTTTCAGGCTAACCCATGAAGAAATGATGAGATTTAGATATTATCAATGCTTTAATTAGTCGCTCTTAACTCCACTATCCCTAAAATTTCATTTACAGGAGTGGCAAATTCTTTCAAATAGTTTCACTACAATAACCCACATTGATATTGTTAATGTTTTTCTAGTACTATTCCGAAAACATTTAAATCATATTACGTATTTTAAATTTGCTTATTGTGATTGATATTTTGCTTTCATGCCTGATACAACGAGCACGAAATTAGGAATAATGGGGTGTGAAAATCAGTAATAAGAATAATGAATTAAAAATAATAGGAACAAATAATATCATTCACTTATTATTAATTTATTAAATATAAACCAAACAATATGCACTTCCTTTGGAGTGCTCATTGCACAAAAATGCCCGTATATCATCATAAAATATTTACATCACTGTTTTATGGAATGCCCTTCTGGTCCAACAGTGAGTACTGTGCAAGGACGCTTTTTATTGACACAATAAGGCACACATTGAGTCCTTTATGGCGGTTCAGTCTGAGGAGCTCAACAGAGTATGGAAAAGGAAGAACAAAGGAAATGTGAGAACCATAGGTCAGGACTCGATACAAAACTTTGCGGTCAGTCTTGTATTAGGGAGAACAATTGCCTCTATCGGATATTGGGAAGTCAATAGCGCAGACACATCAAAGTGTACGTGCATTGGAGAACTGGACACCATTTTTAAACGAAATGAAAGTTCTTTCCAGTCGTATTCCGGCACTAGGCCGAACATAAACACAGAGTAGAATTGGTCGTTGGGCTCCACCAACACAGGTAGATACACTTGCACCTTTTCACAAAACCATTCGTAGAAATAAACAGCCATTCTCAAAATAAATAGTATGAAACTAAAAACATAATATAAATCACAACATGTCGGTTGCTGAGTTTTTAAAAATCATTGATGAAATTTGTCCCTTTTTAAGACAGAATTCACACTTCCTCAATGTCACATTTTTACCACCATTTTATTTGGCACTTTTCGAAAATTAGCCTCACAGACACTATGTCAAAGACCCAGTTCCGAAATGCAAAAATTCTAACTTTTGTTAATATCGCTCTGAAATATTTCAAAATTTAGAATTTTGAAGTGTGGCGTTTTGGAAGGAGGCCTTTGATATGCAAAAGGGAACACTTGTGAAACAAATTTGTTATACTAAAGCTACCTCGCAATATTATTTCAATTCCCTAATTCAATTTCCCTGGCAAAAACGTTGCACTTTAATGTCAAAGAAAATCAACGAAAATAAAGTATTCAACTTGGTTCTGCGACAAAATCAATTTAAATTGTGCATTCTTTTTGAAAATAGAAAATTAAATTTTACATAACATATAAGTGACCATAAATTGACACTTCCCTAAAGCGATAGGAAAACTATTATTGCGTTTTCTTCAAATAAAAGAAATTGAATGATAAAAAGTTCATTGATATTATAATAAATATAACTCTCATGAATACATAATTGAAATAAATATTTCACTAGTTCTGTGGAGTTCAGAAAAATCGCGGAAACGAACGAACACCGTCCTTGGCTGCCGAGAGGACACTGCAACGAGGGTCCGCGCCGCCCGCGACAATGCGGACACGTGTCACGCGTGCGTGGTGAGGTCGAGGGGCGTCCTCCGCACCACGGCCGCCTCGGGCGCCGCCTGCAGGCGCGCGTGGTCCCCGCCGTCCTCGCCGCGCGCGGGCTCCTCCGAGAACACCTCGTCGTCCTCCTCGTCGTCCAAGTGCCTGCTCCCCAGGTCCTCCTCGTCGTCGTCGGCGCCGCTGTCGCTGTCGCTCGTGCCGCCGGCGAGCGAGGCGGCCCTCCGGGAGGAGAAGCCGCTGGTGGCGCCCTTCAGCGACAGGTCCAGCGGCCGCTCCTGCACCGGCCCCAGCGAGCGCAGCGTCTCCACGACCAGCGGCCGTGCGGCGCGCCGCCGCCACCGCGCCGCCGGTGGGCGCTGCGGGCGCGGGCGCGGGGGCCCGGCGGCGGCGGGGCCGGGGGCGCGGCGGGGACGGGGCGGGACGCGCCCTCCGACGAGGCAGCCCGGACGAGGCGCGACGCCGCGCAGCCGGAGGCGGCGCGGGGCGGCGCGGCCCCGCGGGGGCGGCGGGCCGACGGGCGACACGCGCGGGCGGCTCCGCGGGAGAACGGCAGCAGAAGCTCTTGTGGCTGGTAGGGGGAAGGCCCGCGCCGTGCAGGAACGGCGGGTCAGAAACGGCACGGAAGGCCGAGCAGGTGCGGGGTGGGCAAGCTGCAGCACGAACCCTCGCGCCTGGGCCCAGAAGGCCGCGGAGACGCTGCGGCATCGCCCGGGTTACCCGGCCCGTACGGGCATGGCGGGGCGGCCTGGCGCGTGGGCTGCCGCGCAAGCGATTTCCCTCATTCTGGAAGGGCCTTCCCCGCCTCCCGCTCCGACATCGACTCGCGCCCACACGCCCGGTGACGTTGGCCTGTGGTCGGTTGCACGCCATGGGCGACAGCACGGCGCGCCTCCCGCGGCGCCCGCCGCCGCCGCGCCCCCACCCACCCGACGCGGCGCCACCGCCGCCTGCTGCTGCGCTGCTGCTGCTGCAGCTCTGTTGCTTCTCCTGGCAGCAGCAGTGGATCTTGAAACCAGTTGAGCGGCGTCCGTAGCCGAGAGCCGCTCTGGACATAGCCACCAGCAGGCAACTTGCGCAGAGAGAAGGCCTTGCACGAGGTGCGGTTCTTCTTGTTGATCACGCACTCGCCGTTGTTCTTGCACTCCGAGATGGAGTTGAGGTTGCTGTACGTTCGGCCAAAGAACGACTGCAACATACAATTCTCGTAAGAAAAATAAATATGTCTAATCTAAATAACCACCGCTCTTTAACCAATATAATGCATAAGGAAAGTAGTTTTGAGAAAGTGTTCTACCCTATATTCTTCTAGCGTTAATTTATACGTAATCATAAATTAGCCGCTAGAATTTGTTCAGAATGCGGGCTCGGGAAGGCTTTAGCTGGGCAAACGACACAAGATATTGTTTCCTACTGCTTTGACCTTGTTAGTTTTGTTACTGTTAGTTGTTTATGCGAAGCCCGGGTTGGTGAAGCAGAATCCTATTGTCAAGGTTTATAACATTTTTGTACCATATTTTCTGTTTTGATTGTAAATTATTTGAATTCAAAGAACTAACGTTAGTTGTACATACTGTGTAGCAGTCATTTCCAACAAGCAGATCGTAGTTCTTTTCATGAATTCACGCGAACACTTATTCTATTTGAAAAATGCTAAAAAAATTTCTTTGTTATTTGCAGAAAACTGCGCATATTTTCAAAATAACTTGATTTTCGACACTTCAAAATAGCTATATTTCAGCTTAGAAATTACATTCTGAAGAACAAGAGGAAAAGCAAATTTATTCAAAATTTTTTTCCGTCGAATGATGAATTCATTTAAATGTTTTAAACTTTTTAAAATAATGATTTAACTTAATTTAATAACGTTGTTTATGCAAACTATTAGGATATCTGATGTCGAAATATAGTAAGCAGAACCTAGGAGTATCTTATTCTTCAATACTGGCGGAACATTGGCGAAGCATGTAATATATGATAATATAATATTTAACAATTACCTTTTGCAATTAAAAATCATTCCTTGAATTGAAGTTTAACTCACTTTATACTTTTAAGAATTTGTAAAATCACGATACTCGCGATTTGAGAAAAACATGAAATAAGAATAATTACTTATTTAACTTTTTAAATTACCATCACTTCATAATTTTCTTATTTCAATAGGCCGAATGTCGTAAAACAGACATTCAAATATAGAGGTCGAGGCAAGAACATGTAAACTCATTCTTTATTACATTTGATAAAAAGTAACCATAAAGTTTTCATACTGCTGACGGATAAAGGAGATTCGTTTTTATGACAATTTTAATACGATTTTACCAAAATAAAACATCTCAATTCAATCAATTCAGACAAACACATTCATTGGCTCATGAAAGTCAATGACTTACTACTGAAAAGTTACTGAACCTGCTAACTCAATTTAATAATCTGTATGTCACAATGACCTCTTGAATAAGGTAAAAATAGTCGAACAGATACATTTACGTTTTCTAATTGTTTGCAGAATTGTCAAATTATTACTAGTCGAAAAGAATGAAATGTGAAATTTTGAATATTAACAAATGTGTAATATATGACATTTATTCCAAGGAACGTATTATCATAAAGACATAATTTGGATATATTGTTATCAAAATAAATTATTGATTATTTTGTTTTTGATATCTGTTCATTTATTCGTCTAGATTGTTATAAAAATCATCTGAATTAAAGTTCCTCGATTAAGGTTTGTGGTTCAGATTTCTGCTGTGTTAGGCTTCCTGTTTCTGTTTATCTTGTGCGACTCCTTGTGGCCGAGCGTCGCGTCGTGGAAGTGAATGGAAGCGCGGCGCTGACGCACACAACAGGCGCTCACCTTGCAGCCCTCGCAGGTGAAGGCGCCGAAGTGGAAGCCTGCGGCGGGCTCCCCGCACACGCGGCACAGCTGGTTCATCTGCAACGCAAGGGAAGGCACGCGTCAGCACTCCGCCCGCTCCCGTTCCCGCCCGCACTGCTGCCCCCTCTTCCGCCCCCGGCCCGAGCCCGCCACCGGCGCCGCACTCGCGCCGCCTTCCGCTCTATTCGGTTCCCGCTCGCGCCCCACCCCCCTCCCGCTCCTGGTCCCGCCGCGCTCCCACCTCGTTCCCTGCGCCCTCACCGCTCCTGTTCCTTCCCGCTCCGCCCTTAACCCGGTTCCCGCTTCCTACTCGCCGCTTGTTCCAACCCCCGGTTCTCTGCGCTCCGCCTTATTGCTCCGCGACGCTCCCATCTCCGTTCCGCGCGTCCACTCCGCTCCCGCTCCGCCGCTCCATCCTGCTCCTGCTCACGCCGCCGCTCCCACCCCCTTCCCACGCCCGCCCTCACGGCGCCGTCCTGCCGCCCGCCAACCCGCACCCACAACCACAGGCGTCGCACTCGCAATTCGCGGCGCTGCGGCGGTCGGAATACTGCACTTAGAATAGACATCGTCAACATATATCGGGTCATGTAAAAAATCGATTGTATTAAAGGGACTTTAACCACGTCGTAACTAACCAGCAATCGGCGATGCACAACTCAATGTTTGGGCGCAATCGAATTTTCTGACGATTCTGTACGCTATGCTATGCTTAAAAAGACCCTATCACTTATACCAAAAACCATCCTAATTTTATAACACACTTTTTTCGAAAGCGGGTTTAGTTAACCATTAGTTTTGGCGCGCAATTAAGATTGGCAAGGACTGTAATTATGTTTTAACTATAACTGAATTTAGCTAACCAACGAACAAAAAAATAAAGAGAACAATGAACAAAACTGAGAGTATGACGCCCAGCGTATCTCAAGGCCAGAGCTTCGTAGTCAGCGGAGGAATGATACATGGGAAAAAGAGGAACGTCTAAGACTAAGTTGGAAGAAAGCGATAGGAAATACAGCATCAGGTAATTATCTCAGGGAAGATTTACGTCAATAGAAGTAATAACTGATTATTTCTTCACTCATAAAACGGCCGCACATAA